GTGGTCAGAGGTGCTTGGGGTGTGTGGAAAGCTGTTGAATGCCAGCTCTCTTAAGGAGAAGGGTGGAACTCAAGGGGCGTCGAATGGTGTCTGTTCTTCTGCAGCGGGAGCAGGGTTTTTGCCTGCAGTCTCACGGCTTTCATTTACCCCGTTCTGGGGGGCCCCTGGGGTCCTGGGTGTGTCCTGGACTGGCTCTCAGGGTCCTTCCTTCTGTTCTTATCCCATTTCCTTGCTCTCTTTTGACAGACAAGTGGGTGTGGACTCGGATGAACCCTTCGGGGGTCAAGCCCACCCCACGGTCTGGCTTTTCCGTGGCCATGGCCCCGAATCACCAGACGCTGTTTTTCGGGGGTGTCTGTGACGAGGAAGAGGAGGAGAGCCTGGCGGGCGAGTTCTTCAACGATCTGTACTTCTACGATGCCACCAGGAACCGCTGGTTTGAGGGACAGCTGAAGGTAGGGCAACCTCTGAGTGGTATGCGCCGTGGTGCGCGGCCCTAACTCGGTCCCTGCCTCCCTCCAGCAGCTTTGGGTGTCGGGGCCCCCAGAGCCCGTGAGCTCTCTCAAGAGGGGCCGGGGTTCTGTCTCTGCCTGTGTCCTGGGTGACTAGGCTTGGACAGCCCTTGGTCATGGTTCCCTCAGCCCATCCTGGATGCTGGCGGTGCTGCTGCCTCAGGAGCCACTCTCCCCAGACTGAGGTGCCCGGGACCTCCCTGGCCCTCTGTGTGAGAAGGGTTTGCTGGAGGTCCTGGTGCGGACCAGCCTGTGTTGTTATGACATTTGAGCTCCCCTGGTTTCTGGCACCATCTTTACTGTCCGCATGGGCACAGCTGCTGTCCAGGGCCAGCCCAGCACAGGCACAGCAGTGGGTGACAGTCCCAGAAGAGGATCCCCCACTTGGCCTCAGGGTCTCCGAGTGTACCAGGTCAACTGGACCCAGAAAGAGACAAGGAGGGCTGGTCCCCGTTGGTTGCAAAGAGCTGCTCTTGACGCGTGGTGGCACCTGGGCTGGACACTGGGAAAACACAAGGGTTCGTTTCTGGATCCACAGTTCACCTCGCTCTTTGACTTTAGGAGGAATTACTCCAAGCAGAGTCTGCACAGGTTTCCCCTGTGGCTTTTCTTCAGAGAACGTTTTGACCCCAGCTAGTGTCACAGTTCTCAAACTGTGTCATCACAGGGCCCTTGACATTTCCCGGGATCACGGAGGACCTTAGGGAGCTTTCCCTTTCGAAACTCATTGTTGGAGAGTACAGATACAGAGTGGGTCTTAGAAGTCTAGAATGTGAAGCTGACTTTGAGTTGATCTGGAGGTAGTGATCCTTGGAAAATTTGGAAATAACCTGGCAAATGTCACCTCGTGAGTTGGCAGCATTTTGTGACAAAATGGCAAAGGCTGTGACAGAAGGGTCCAAACTGACCGCTGCCACACAGCCAGGGAAATAGGACAGAGAGGGATGGACGGCTGTCCTGCAGGAGGCACCCTGGACCTGAGAGCTCCCCTTTAGAAACGTTTGGTGAGGAAGGGCCCCTCTCCGACTCGCCGTTTGTAGTAAATGAGCTGGGGTTGCGGGCCTGGCCGTTGGTCTTCCTTGGGAAAGGGGAGGAAGCCCCTCAGCCTGGCTTCCCCAGCCCTTCCGGGAGCTAGCACTGTCCGTGGATTGGGTTTTCCCAAGGTGAGCGTCGGAGCCCGAGGGACTGGTGCACTGGGTCTGGGATCTGGTGGCCTGTCCACCTCTCAGTGGAGGTGTGGAGCCGCCCCTCAGTGAGGACACGCGATGGGGGGTTTTCTCCCCCAGCCCAGGAGTGAACGGCGAGGCCAGTGCAAGACAGGAGCGTGCTTCTGCTGCCGAGTGCCTGCACCCAGGGCAGTCAGGGACGGCGCCCTCCTGGGTCACACACTCCCCATGCTTGTGGGTGGTCCCCGCAAACCCTTGCCTGGCCTCGTAGGCATAGCAGGACCGACCGCTGCCTCGCTGAAGCTGCTGCTCTCTGCTCCCTCGGTCTATTAATAGGGGCCCAAGTCTGAGAAGAAGAAGCGCAGACGGGGCAGAAGAGAGGAGCCCGAAGGTGGCAGCAAGCTGGCGTGTGGGGGAGCTGGCACGCAGGCGCCTGTGGAGGTGGTCAAGGAGGTGGTGACCGAGGATGGGACCGTGGTCACCATTAAGCAGGTGCTCTCCGCCCCAGGCTCGGCAGGGCAGCCCCAGTCTGAGGACGAAGACAGCCTCGAGGAGGCCGGCAGCCCCACACCCGGGCCGTGTCCTCGCTCCAACGCCATGCTGGCCGTGAAGCACGGGGTGCTCTACGTCTACGGGGGCATGTTTGAGGCTGGCGACCGCCAGGTCACCCTCAGCGACCTGCACTGCCTGGACCTGCACAGGATGGAGGCGTGGAAGACCTTGGTGGAGATGGACCCAGGTGAGCCAGGCGACTTGGTGCCTCCGTGCCTGGGGGCGAGAGCCGACGGTCGTGTGTCGCGTCACTCGGAAGCAAGCCCTGCAAGCCGCCCAGAGGCGGCCTGTGCCGATGCCCCCTGCCTCCACGGTCAGACCTGTTGTGGAAAGGAGGGCCCATCCTGGGCACGTCCGTCCTTTGTCCCAGGTGCTGACAGGAGCTGCAGTTCTGGCGGCACAGGACACGGGCGCGTCTGCTGCTCTGTCCACAGCATGCTTGTTTGTGGGCGGCCGTCCGTGCCGGGCCCCAAGGCCCTGGGTCTGAGCCTCCAGCGTTGCTGTCTGACCCAGGGCCCCTCTGCTGCCATAGTCACACGTCCCCTTTACCCTGATTGCTGCTGGGCTTGAGTCACCGTTCAGTTTCTAAAGATCTGAGATGAAAGCAAAATCCACAAATCCAGGGAAAGGTAGTGAACCGTTGGCGCAGGATGTTTGCTGTTTTCTGAGAGCACCATGAGCCAGCGTGGAGGGTGGCAGGAGGCCCTCTCAGCCAGCTGCTCCCTTATGGGGGTGCTTTTGCATGTTTGCCATCTCGGGTCTCTGCCTTGACGCCCAGGGGAACACAGTCTGTTTTCTTTGTGGATCTGAAGGGGGCCGGGGAATAGGAGTTAGGTTTCTTTTTCTTTCTTTTTTTTTGAGGCAGAGTCTCACTCTGTCGCCCAGGCTGGAGTGCAGTGTGCGATCTCGGCTCACTGCAGCCTCTGCCTCCTGTGTTCAAAGGATTCTTCTGCCTCAGCCTCCTGAGTAGCTGGGATTACAGGTGCCCACCACTACACCCAGCAGAGACAGGGTTTCACCATGTTGGCCAGGCTGGTCTTGAACTCATGACCTCAGGTGATCCACCCACCTGCGCCTCCCAAAGTGCTGGGATTACAGGTGTGAGCCACTGCGCCCGGCCAGGAGTTAGGTTTCACATCATGGTTCTTAAGTAAGAAGATGGAATCCCCCCAGTAAGTAGCCACCACCGTCCCACAGCCTCCCCCGCCTGCCCCAGCTGCGCTGACATCTGTGTGTGTTCATTCTGCTTTTGAAGAAACTCAGGAGTGGCTGGAGGAGACAGACTCGGAAGAGGACAGTGAGGAGGTTGAAGGTGCTGAGGGTGGAGACGAGGATGAGGACGAAGACAGCGGAGAGGAGAGCGGTGCGGAGGACTGAGGTGAGCGGGCTGGAGCTCACGGGTGGTGTGGCTGCTGGGTGTTGGTGAAAGGCTTTTCATGTTTATTGGATTTTCATTAGAATTCAGCTTTGTTCTGTAGATGCCTTGAGGCAAGTTTAAAATCTTAAAAACGGTATGTGGAGTAATTTCGGCAGCTTGCTGATGAGTGCGGCGTGCCTGTGGGCTCTTTGATGAGGTCTTCCCTGAAAACCCGGTGTTCTCTCTACCCTCCCTGCACAGGCATCCCCCTCGGCTGAATGTGTTGGTCTCTCATTCCTTCCTCCTTGCGTATCAGAAGAGCCCCCTCCAGGGGCGCCTGGCAAGTGCTGTGCCCACGTCCGCCCAGGACCCAGCCGTGTTGGGTGAAGCTCTCAGGGCCAGCCTGTGCCGTGACACACAGGAGAGAGCTGAAGGTGGGTGGCCCAGGCCAGGGCGTGAACTTTCTCCCATGATTTAGTCTTTGATGCGGCGCTGGGCCAGAAGTTCAACTGAGTGCAGTGCGGGTGGATTCCCTCAGCAGCCTGTGTGTTGTGTAAAATAAATTGGACTTCAAACAAGACCACTGTGAGGTTTTCTCCTGTGCGGCCCGAGGCACACCCAGTCTTCCTGGGGCCTCTGCCAGTCTTCCCGGGCCAGGGCTGGCCTAGGGCAAGACTGCCCCACACTGGAGGGTGGAACTTTGGACACGAAGGACCCTCAAGAAGCAGGTTTCTGCGCCCGAAACCCCGGAATATGCTGTGCTTTGTGAGCCTTTCCTTCTACAGACCCAGAAGAGGGC